TTGGGCTCCCTGCTCGGCGGGGGGCCTGCTTCTCTCTCTAACCCTCCCCCCTCTCATGTACTCTCTCTCTCTCTCTCATTCTCACTCTCTCAAAATGAATAAATAAATCTTTAAAAAAAAATAAGTTACTAAACCAATATAGTACTGAACATCATGCTTAGCAAAGAAAGACCTTTAAAAAAATAGAAGCTTTTTTTTTTTTAACAAAGGATGTTGCCCTTCTGTGTAGCCTGAGATCACTACTATTCATCACTAATCAAGGAGATAGCTTTGCAGATAATTAAGTGAATGACTTTTCCATCCCATCTCTGACCTAGAAAGTTCTTCTCCTGGTTGTCCTCTGAGATTTAGACATGAAGTTGGGGCACTCAGGGTAGGTTGCCCATCACTGTTCAAACAGAAACCCCACCTCAAAGAGGAATCCCCGCCCCTCCTCCATCACCATGACTCCCCCCATTTCTACCATCTCAGAATTTAGGTATAATTAGTAAGTCATTGCTAATTGTAAAATTAAGTTTTAGCCTGGTCTCACTAACCATCCTCCAAGATGGGATGCTACCTTGCTTTTTCTGACCTCCTCAACTCAAGCTGCTGATCAGTTTGACTCATTGCAAATCATACGGCTAGGAGAAGGAGGAGGTTTTGGGGGATTTGTGGCTTTCCATCCAAATGCTCCATGGAAAAAAAAAAGCCAAGTATCTCATTGAATAGCAGGGAGAAAAAGCCTAACTAAGAAAAATTTTTTTCTTAGTAATAAGGCATAAAGAATCAATTATTATTAATTTGAATTGAGTAAAATATTATTGCTAATAATAAAAAAAAATCCAATTTTAAAAATGGGCAAAAGGTTTGAACAGACATTTCTCCAAAGAAGATATACAAATGGCCGGAGTGCCTGGGTGGCTCAGTCAGTGACCATCTGCCTTCAGCTCAGGTCATGATCCCAGGGTCCTGGGATCAAGCCCTGCGTCAGGCTACCTGCTCGGCGGGAAGCCTGCTTCTCCCTCTCCCACTCCCCCTGCTTGTATTCCCTCCCTCGCTGTAGCTCTCCCTGTCAAATAAATAAAATCTTAAAAAAAAAAAGTATACAAATGGCCAATAAGCACATGAAAAGATGTTCAACATCACTTATCATTGGGGAAATGCAATTGAAAACCAAATTAAGACCACTTTACATTCATTAGGATGGCTATTATTGAAGGGAGGGAGGGAGGGAGGAAGAAGGAAGGAAGGAAGGAAGGAAGGAAGGAAGGAAGGAAGGAAGGAAGGAAGGAAGGAAAAGAAAAGAAAGGAAAAGAAAAGAACTATTGTTGGGAAGGATGTGGAGAAATTGGGAGAACCCCTGTGCATTGCCAGAGGGAAGGTAAAATGGTGCAGCCACTGTGGAAAACAGTATGGCATTCCTCAAAAAGTTAAACATAGAATTGCCATATGATTCAGCAATTTCACTTTTGGCTATAAACACAAAAGAACTGAAAGCAGGATCTCAAACAGATATTTGTATACCCATGTTCCTAGCAGCATTATACACAATAGCCAAATGGTAGAAACAGCCTAAATGTCCACTGACAGGTGAATGGATAAACAACAGGTGGTATATACATACAATGGAATATTACTCAACTCTGAAAAGGAATGAGATTTTGACATATGCTATCACATGGAGAACCTTGAAGGCATTATAATAATTGAAATAAGTCAGACATGAAAGGACAAATACTGTATGATTCTATTTATATGAGGTACATAGAGTAGTCAAAATCATAAAGACAAAAAATAGAACGGCGGTTGCCAGGAGCTGTGGGGAAGGAGAATGGGGAGTTGGCTTAATGGATGTAGAGTTTCAGTATAGGAAGACCAAGAAATTCTGGAGATGGGTAGTGGTGATAGTTGTACAATGATATTATTATGCACAATGAGTTACTTAATGCCACTGAATTATACACTTGAAAATAGTTAAAATGGTTATATCTATATATCTTTTGTTGTGTTAAAATACATGTAATTAAAATCTACCATCTTGACTATTTCTAAGTGTATAATTCAGTTATGTATATTTTACCACAATAAAAAACAAAATAAAAACTGATGGGGCACCTGGGTGGCTCAGTGGGTTAAACATCCAACTCTTGATCTCAGCTCAAGTCTTGATCTCAGGGTCATGAGTTCAAGCCCCAAGCTGGGCTCCACGCTGGGAGTAGAGCCTACTTAAAAAAAACAAACAAACAAAAAAAACTGATAATGCAGTAAATAACAAAAATGGCTAGTCCCTTTATTTGGTGTTCTTATAGGTATTTCTTTAGTGAATATCAATATGCAGGAGAGTTTGCCTGCAGTCACTTACAACTTTGGTTTGCCTAACCTGTGAGGTCTCTCTGCTCTGGAATCCTTCCACTGTTGAGGACTTAAGGGACTTAGTCCTCACAGTTGGAGAGGAAATATTTTCTGGGGAGTAGATGAAGGAGCAATGTAGGAAGCACTCACTGGGTTTGGGGAGATGGTGCGATGGGGCCCAAGGAGAGAGACGGTATTTATTAGGTATGGAAAGGGGAAAAGGAGCAAAGAGATCAATTTCGTGCTCTTCACCCACTTCTTGGACTCTCTCTGTACCTCTCAGTGGCCCCCGCAGTTCCCTGAAGTTGGGGCTATTCATAGCTCCAGGTTGAATGAGGAGGAAAGGAAAATTCCACTCATTCCTCAGACCTGCGACCAGCCCTACCCTCAGCCCACCATTCCCACCAGTGATGTCATGATGACAGTCCTGCCAGCAACCCACCCCTTCCCTCTGCACATGCTTGTGCTTATTCTTATCTAGTGGCACCTGCACAGTTGGGCTGGGGAAGGATGTGTTGGCACAGTTCCCCTACCCCCGTTCTAATCTCCCTGCCTCCCTTCCTTCTGCATCCCCCCAGGTTTCTCCTGACTTCAACTCTCCCCCAATCCTCTCCCCTCCCTTCTGTTTACATTTCCACCCACTCACTTTCTGTCTCAACCTACTTTGCTTCAATGTCAGTTTTCAACTGGGGTTGAGAGCTGAAGGAAGGAGTGTTGCTGGGCCCTCCTTAGCCCATCACCTGCATTTCCTGGGAGAGGCCACCTGGCCTATTTCATCTCCCAGACTCCTCCTTGGAGGGGAGAGGGGTGGACAGAAGCCTTTCACAGGCAAACCACATGCAGGAAAACCTCCTTTTCTGGAACCAGTGGGTAGGAGTTGCCTCAAGGCTTCCCTAAGAATCTTTTTTCTTTTGTTGAATGTGCATCTGAAATAGGTTGGGAGCTTACCTGTGGCAGCTAGAGACACCACTGTTAGGGAAAACCGTCAGCTTCTTGGCTCCCCCACGCCCCTACAGAGGTGGAGGGGAACACAAGCCCCAAAATACTACAGCTAATGATTATGATAAAAAGGGCTGTCCAGGGGTGCCTGGGTGGCACAGTCCGTTGGGCTACTGACTCTTGGTTTCAGCTTAGGTCATGATCTCTGGGTCACGGGCTCGAACCCCGCGTCAGGCTCCGCGCTCAGTGTGGAATCTACTTAAGACTCTTTCTCCCTCTCGCTCTGCCCCTCCCACCTCTCTCTCTCTCTCTCTCAAATAAATAAAATCTTAAAGAAAAAAAAAGTTGGTCGGGACCTGAAGTTTGCTAAGCGGGCTATCTGCTGCAACTCTGCAATGAAAAATAGCCAGCAAGAAAAGGCTGGGCTGATGCACCTGCTTTACGGATGCATCTGAACAAGTTGGGAGCTCACAATTTGTTGCCACTGTCTCAATGTCTGCTGAGCGGTTTGCCCCTGGACTCCTGGTTCCCCCGCTCCTCTCCGTGAAGAAGCTTGAGAAGCAGCAGCCTTGGCTGCCGCCCAGCGGCCCATCTGTAATCTTCCTGCTCAACATCAGATCTTGGCTGCAGCAGGAGGCAGGCTCAGGCTGCCCCAGAAGCCAGGAGTGTGACTGGTGACTCAGCGGGGGAGGTGACGGGTGGGATTTGGGGCCTGAGGGGCCAGCACCGATGACAACCAAGTGCTTTTGAGCAGAAGACAGGAAGCTGAGTCCTGAGCACAAGCCCAGCAGCAGAACTGCAATCTAAGGAATCCAAAGTAATTCCGTTTGTGGGGCTGAATCCTTCCTGTGGGTTTAGATCCCCTGCCTCTTGCTTCCTAAGATGCAGCTTGACCAAGGTCTAGATTCCACAGCCAAGTGACCCCTCTTTCCCTTTTCCGCCACCCACCCAAGGAATTCAGCCCAAGCAATTCTGCAGGAGCATCCAAAGAGATGTGGGTAGAGATTTTCCTTTATTCATTTTTTATTTTGGAGAGGAAGGGCTGGAGCAAAAAGATGATGCCAACACACTAGGCATCACAATGACCCTTGCACATGCAGGGCACTGACGGGCACCCACTCTGGATCTGGTGATTAACAAATGTGCCTAATGACGACAATGTCCCCACAGCTGCAAAAGCCCCCTTGCTCCTGCCCATTTTTCTTAATTTCAAGACTTCTACCCATACCCACTCAGGTAGCCTTGTCATTCCCAATAAGTGGATCTCCTACAAATTGGGTTTTTACTCCTGTGGGCTCAGAGCACTGACCCCCCCAAAATAAGCATGCATCCCCTAGAGATACAGGCAGATTGACAGGATGCTGGAACACAGAGAGATGGCATGCTTCATTTCTCATCATCCTCCAGCTTGGGAGAAAGGCTGCCCTCCATCTCACCAATGAGAGATGGGAAAGAACGTTGAGGACATACCGCTTTCCCATCTCCCCAGGACCCTGTAGTAGGGCCCCACCACTCGCACCCTGAAGTAGGGCCTTCCCAGATTTCAAATAAACTGGCAGTTGAGAAAAAGACACGTGGGAGCTAAGAGATGTAGGGCTCAAGTGAACATTTAAACCAAAATTTTCTTCTTGCTCAGTTTTTCAATCCAAAGGTCTCTTCCTACTCTCCCAAGGGGATTTCTGATGCTTGAAGCCCCCAAATCTGGCTCCCAGCCTCCCCAGCAATTTGTGGACCCTGTGGAATGTTTTTAGTTGCCACAACCCCTCACCACCCAGCCTCCCTGCATTCTCCCAGAGGGGTCTTTTGTTCTTCTCAGGTCTCTCCTCATTGTTCTGCTATGCTGTCCTGACTTGGAGGTGCCCGGGGTGGCAGGGGAAGGGTCAGGTGCCCTTGCTTTCTGTCCTCTCCTCGTCGGCTGTCCGGGCATTGCTGACGGCTCGAAGCTGCCCCTGGGCGGCAGGCTTCACTGACAGGACCAGGCGTTTGCGGAATGTCTCACAGAGCACGATGTACACAAAGGGGTTGAGGCAGCTGTTAGCGTAGCCCAAGCTGATGGCTGCGTTGTATAGGTAGACAAAGGTGAGTGTTGGGCGGCTGATGGACAGCTGGGTCAGCTGTAGCACATAGTAGGGAGCCCAGCACACAAAGAAGACCAGGCAGATGGCGATGGCCGTGCGAGTCACCCTCTTTGTCCGCAGCCGGATGCTGCGTTGAGAGGCCGGAGCTACTGAGGACATCATGCGCTGCAGGATCCTCACATACGCGGCTGTGATGACTATGAAGGGCAGGGCAAAGGCCAGGAAGAACTGGTACAGGGTGAACCAGTAAAGGTCAGTGTCTGGGTTGGGCAGGCGGATGCCGCAGCCCACTGTGCCCCCTGGGAAGGGGATAAGCCTAGCGTAGAGCCACACGGGGGTGATGCTGATGAAGGAGAGGGCCCACAGGAGGCAGATCACCAGGGTGGCCACAGAGGGCTTCCGGAACTTGGTGGAGGAGATGGGGTGGACAGTGGCCAAATAGCGGTCAATGGCCATGGCAGTCAGGATGTAGGTGCTGGTGAACTGACTGTTGGCGTCCATGGCCGTGATAAGTGTGCACATGGTCTCCCCAAAGTGCCAGACACCATTGCCCATGAGCTGGTGGATCATGAAGGGCATGCCCAGGAGAAAAAGGAGGTCCACCACCGAGAGGTTGATGATGAAGATGTCGGGGACATTGCTGCACCAGTGCAGTTTGGACTTCTTCACCACCGCGAAGATGACCGTGGAGTTCCCGATGATGCCCAGGAGGCAGATGGTGCCGAACACAGAAGGCATGATGATGTTGATGTAGGAGACACTCCCTGTGCGAGGAGGTGGCCCTGGGGACAAAAGGAGCAAATGTTGACCATTTGACATGGACTCCTCTCGGCGTGCTCAGCCTCCAGTGATGACGTGCTTGCCTACCTCTTTATCTTCTTTCCATTTCAGCTCAGGGCTCACCATTCATCTGGAATCCTTTCCTACCATTCTCCCTCCCCACACTGTTGCTAATCCTGTCCCCTTGCCCTCCTCCACCAGTTCCCTGGCTAATCCTACCAGATTTCTCCCGCACCACCTGTTAGTTGAAGGACCCAGTCCTTTACTTCCTGCATTTTCTCAGAAGGCACAGAATCAGGAACCACAGCTGTCTGCAGAGAATTATTCTGTGGGCCCGTAGGCTTCACCAGGAAACCTCGTCAACATAGCCAAAAGGACATGAAAGTGTGTGTGTGTGGGTGGGCGGGTGCACACAAGTACGCATGCGTGCACACATGCATGTGCACACATGTGGGTGAGCAAGCGCATGTATGGATGGGCGCATTCATGTGTTTTCTGTTTGCAGCCCTGATCATCTCATTTTAGAAATCGCTAGTTGGAGGCTGCACTGATTCCTAGGCATATCTGTGGGCTACTGTCTTGTGAAGGGAGGCTTTTGCCCATCAGGCCTGCAGCCCTCCCTTCTGGGTTCCTATCAGGGAATTCCTTGGTCTGTATCTTCTGAGCCTGGGCTTCCCAAGTGAGCAGAGACTGAAGCTGTGTGTTGCAGCCTAGCTGCCTGAGAATTTTCTGCACACAAGCCTTTCCTCTTTTTCCTTCCTCTCCTTCAGAGCTAGAATTTCAGGGCATTTCGGCTCTGGAAATGTCAGGAAGCTTCATTCACCAGGAAAGTTAATCCCCTCATGGCTCTGTGAGTTAGCCCTTCCCAGGGCCTTTCCCAGGGGTCGGGAAGGATGTTTCAGATCTCATTACTGCAGTTTCAGTAAAAAGACAAGGGGATCGGTGAATGAGTGAGCTTCCAGCTGTCTCCTCACATACCATCCTCTGGCTTCTCTTGCTTGCTTTTCCAGCCTGGAATTTTTTTCTGCAAAGCATTTGGAACTCATGGGTGAGTCTTCCCCTGTCTCCCTCACTGGCGGGCCGCTTCTGAACGTGCCTTTGCCCTCTTCTCTGCCCCTGCCCCTGCTACCCCTGCCTGCCCCGCCCCTTTCTCCCCTTCCCCTCCCGGCAAAGCCGACCGCAGATCTCAAGCCCAAGAACTGTACAAAGTTTCCGGAGCAGTTTGGCTCAGAGGTGAAACCTTCCCATTTCCCACCCCCAGCGCAGAGGAAGGAGGACTCCCCTCCAGCACTACTCACCGGCCGCGGTGAGGTTATCGGGGCCATCCGAGGTGTTGCTGGCATTGGGGCCAGTGGGCAGCAGCGAGGCTTCCAGGTCCATCCTGCCGCTGCCCGTCGCCTGCTCTCCCGTCCACCCACGCAGGCTGCGGCAGCGCCGCCCGCCCGTCCCAGAGCACGAGCCCCGCAGTCCGGAAGGGGGTCTTCCTGGCGGTCTGGCAGCGTCTTCCGCCTCCAAGCCCCGCTTCTCTCCCCACTCCCTCCTTCCCCGGCTCCCACTGACATCACCTATGCACATTAACATTCGGAAGCAGATGCACATTAACCTCTTCAGTCCCGAGCAGCAGCTCCCCGCTTCTGACTGCTTGCGGAGCCTCGGGGAAGCCAGGAAGGGCCAGGCTCAGGCAACCCCATCAGGGAGGGGGCTTCCTTTCCTTCCCACGTGCTCGTGGGGCCGTGTGTCCTGTGCTTGCAGGAGCTTGCTGCATGTGAGGACCCAGATCCCTGCGAAGACAAATGAGAGAATTCTCCTCCGGAGGACAGAATGAGCCTGGCCTAGTCCCTAACCCCAGATGAGGGTGGCTGGGCCAAGTGGCAGGGGCCAGAGGGGACTCTTCACAGATCTTGGAGATGGCAAGCTCGGACCTACAGCACCAGGCCACCCTCAGCTCCTTCCCAGTGCCCTGCTGGATTCCAGCTAGCTCCCTGGCTAGACCACCAGCGTCCACCAGAAGCCTCCTTGTTGGCAGCTGAGCTGCTGACCAGCACTCAGAAGTGGCACAGGTCACTCTATGCTGGTGATGGCCAGGGTCTTAGGGACCAGCAGGGGACAAACTACACTCTGCACAGAATTGAGGACCAAGCTTACAGAGATTTTATTTTTCTAAATGCTCTGAGGTCTTCCAGGTTTTACCTGGGACTTCTTGAGACAAATTTCAGAGCATAGCCCCCCCCAAAAAAGGTTGTCAACTAGGAACAGTGTTAGAGGGCAAAACCTTAAGTAAATTCTTGCCCAAGGTGTCCTGCCACCAGCCTCCAGTGTCCTCACAGCCAAGAACTGCCACCACACCTACTGCCAGACTCCAGAACAGGGGCTTCAGGGTCACCACTGTCTGATCCCTACTTGCTTTTTCAGTCTTATTTATGAATGAGTTTCATCCAACAAATATTTATTGAGCACTTACCACTTGCCAAGCACTGTTCTAGGTTCTGTAGTGAAAAAAAACCAATAGGGGCGCCTGGGTGGCTCAGTGGGGTTAAGCGTATGACTCTTGATCTCAGCTCAGGTCTTGATCTCAGGATTGTGAGTTCAAGCCCCACACTTGGCATGGAACCTACTTAAAAATAGATAAATGAATAAAAAATAAAGTCCCCAAGTCCCTGTTCTCATGGAGATTACATTCAAGTTGGGGTGAGGTGGGAGGGGTATAGAAAATATACAAAAAATTAAAAAGACAATTTCTGAGGTTGGTGATCAGTGCTATGAGAAATGAAGCAGGGGGAGGGGGCCAAGGAATGCTAGGGGAGGTGCAGGTTGCTATTTTACATAGGAAGGCCTCTCTGGGAAGTGTTTTAAGAAGAATCCTGAAGGAAGTAAAGAAGCATGCTTGGAAATAGCTGAAAGAAGAACTTTTCAGGCAGTAAGAATAGCCAGTGCAAAGGCCCTGCGGCAGGAGTGTGCTGAGTGTCTTTGAAGAACTATAGTAGAGCAAAGAATGATAATACTGGCTATCGTAGAGCAAAGGAAGATTAGCAGATGACCTCAGAGAGGAAACAGTAGGAAGGGCAGATTCTGTTAGGCCTTGTAGGCCATTGTAAGGACTTCGGCTTTTCTTTTAGGTGGAATGGGGTCACCAGAGAGTTTTCTGCTCAGGAGAGACATGATCAGACATGTTTTAAAAGGATCAGTCTGGGGACACCTGGATGGCACGGTTGGTTGAGCGTCCAACTCTTGGTTTCGGCTCAGGTCATGATCTCAGGGTCATGAGATCAAGCCCCTCACTGGGCTCTGCACTCAGTATGGAGGCTGCTTGAGATTTTCTCTCCCTCTCCCTCCGCCCCTCCCACTCCTGCTCTCTCTAAAATAAATAAGTAAATTAAAAAAATAATAAAATGATCAGTCTGCTGCTGGATAGCAATTGAAACATTATTTTAGCTTGGGTTCCCTTGAAAGCAGAGACTGAGAAAAGGACTTATGTGCACATGAGCTTTTCTGAGAGGTGACCCAAGAAGCAGGCATGAGGGCATGGGACAATGAGACGGGAAAGGAGAAAAAGCCAACCTAAGGGTACATTAGTTATGTCACTGCTGTGGGCAGGAGCTTGAGTTTACCAGGATCCTTGAAAAGTGCACAGTTTCCCAGAATTATCTGCCTGAAGTATGGGAAGCAGGAACGTTTATCCAGTTACCCTGTCCCCCACTGGTTGAAGGTTGCCCCTGGGGTGTTAACTCTGCACTTTGGGGTGCATGGATAAAGCAGGCTCCTATAGCATCAAGCGTTGATGGGGCAGAGAGCAAAGAGATGTGCAGCTCACACTCGAGGCAAGGAGCAAGTAAATCTTGTGCTGGAACCAAAAGGACTCTGACAGCATTGAAATCCAGGGGAGAAGGCAAACAGGTACGAGGTGTGCACTGGAGGCAAGACGCTGTATGCACCGGATCAGCTGAGCTCGTATACGACTGTCCACTGCAGTTGGAAGTGAAGTCAGAGGTGACCAGGGGATATGTGATGTGAGTTACCAGAGGCATCCAATATAAAAGGCTTCTGCAATAATCCAGTTGGAAGAGGATGGTGTCCTAGATCAGGAAGGTGGAGGTGGGGGAGAAATGGGGGGCTTCTATACATGATGTAGAGCCCAGAGGATTTGCTGAAGAATTGGATGAGACATGTGCGAGAGAAAGAGGCATTGGGGTGATGCCCAGCTTTGACGCCCAAACAACTGAAAGAATGCAGCTGTCATTTACTGAGATAAGGAAGTCTGTGAGAAGAGAAGATTTGGAGGGGAAATTAAGAGTTCTGTTTTGGATCCATTATTCAAAATGCCTATTAACATCTGAATGGAAAATTTGGGTGGTAGTCAGACTGGAGTCAGAAATTCAAGGGAGAGGTCATGCCTGGAGATATAATGTTAGACTGATGACTCTGGATGAGCTCACCCAGGGAGTGCAGGTGAGTACAGAAGAGTAGTGAGGACTTGGCCCTGGGGCACTCCAAAACTTACTGGGTGGGGAAAATGAGCATCATGACCCACTATTTCCTCTTCTTCCACATGGCACGGTCTTCCCACCTTCATCCATCTATCCATCCACCCATCCATCCATCCATCTATCCATCCATCCAACAAATCATTCCATCCAACAAATCATTCTCGAGCTCCTGCTATGTAGCAGGTACTGTCCATACAGTAAAGAAAAACAAACAAGTGCCTGGTATCAATGAGCTTCAATTTAAGTGGGGAGAGGCAGATAATAACGAGCAAGCTAATAAGTAAACAAGATGTCCTTTTCATGGTTGAGATCCAGATGAGTCCAAGTAACTTCATCATGAAGGGATTTAAGTGTTTGTAAAAAGGCATGGCTCCAAAATCTGCCATCCCTTCCACCATCGGCCCTAGCAAAGTGACTCTGCCTGACTGGAGGAGTTTAAACCATGACCAAGCAGCAAGGGCAGGTTTTTATCTTTCCAGCTTTCACACGCTGGGGTGGGGGGGGTGTGTGAACACTGAGCTGGTCAATCCACAGTGGCAGCTACACTGGCTGATTACTCATTGTGGAAGGTGTCACCAAGGGAATGAATGGGGTGCTGGGAGTGATGGGTTCTTTAGTGACTAGGGTCCTTTACCGAGGAGAGGTAAGGGCGATTTCTTTGTGGAGGCATTTGGGTGGAATCCTGAGCATCCATTCATCACAAATGATTAACTTAAACCAGTCACAGCAATCTCATTCCCCTCGCCAGTGACCATTTTAGGAGTGAGCATGTCTGCTGGTTGCCCATGTGCACCTCTTCAAACCCTCTTGGCCACACTTAGTTTATATTCCATCCACTGCTTCAGTGACCCACTTTGTATGGTCCCTGACCATCTTCACGTACAGGTAACAGGTACAGGTGTGACTTGATGGTGCTGTGGATCAGGCCTGCACTATGTGCCTTTTACCCTCTGTCCTGGATCCTCTGTGTTGCTTGCATAACTTAGAACGTGGGGACCCATGAAAGTGCCTGTGCATGAGCAACCCTGAAGTGTAGGGAGAGGTAACACTCCTTAGGGTGACCCTTTAACCAATGGAGGGTGGGGGGTGGAAGCCATAAAAAGATGCTTTTCTCCTTTCTTCCCAGGACGTATGGTCCTGAGACACACTTCATATGGCTTCTCAGCAGTCCCACAGGATAGGGCCACTGGTGGCTTGTAGTGGTGGCCAACTCGACGTCCTGACACGGTGCTCCCTGCTCCCCTGCTGTTCTCCTCTGTCCTCACTTCTGATTCTTAGAATCACACTTGCCAGTCAAACACCCAAACTCATACTTTGTCTCTGGCTCTGTTTTCTGGGAACCCAAGGCTAAGGTGTGTGGCCCATTCCTACCAACGGTCAAGGTGAGGAGTGTCGAGGCGAGAGGCACCTGGCAGAGTTTCTTCTTCTTACAAAGAGGACACAGGAAGAGAGGACCCACTGTGCCTCCTCTGACCTTTGCTGTGCATGGACATGATGCCTGGAGCACTTGCAGCCATTTCTAGAACTTGCAGCCCTTAAAGTATCCTCATTGATTGAATCAGTCAGGGTATAGGGAAAATCCAGAACAAACTCACATAGGGAAGTCGAGGAGCATTTAATAAAGGGACTGTTTACCGAGGTTAAGGGAAATGAGAAGGGATGGTGGAGGAGTGTGCCAGGGAAGCAGCAGCAGCCATGACTGCCCTTCAGCCCCGAGGCCAAGAGGCAGGGAGCAGTTGTCAGTGAGAGCTGTCTCAAGGGCTGTGGCCTTCAGTTTACGGAGGCCACCAACCCACAGCAACTTGGCAAAGAAAGAGCCAGAGGAAGAAATAACCTGACCTCCCTGATCTCTGCCTGTGGATGCCCAGGGTGGGGTGGATAAGGGTGGAGAGTAGCTTTGAAGGGGCAAGTAGAAAGTCAGCCCACTGCCCCAGGGAGAGGCATTGGAGCTGAGACAAGGTATTCAATATACATCGTTTTGTTATCAATCCTTGAAACAAGTAGGTATTTAATTCTCCTCTTTGGTTAGATGAAGAAGTGGAGTTCCACAGGTCGGGTCATCGGGGAGCAGACTCCGGGATGGAGATGGGGTGTCAAATGTTTACTGCGAGATGACCCCTGGGAAGGGAGAAAGGGATGTGCATGGGGAAGGGGAGACACAGATGGTGAGGCAGGCCCGACAAGGGCTTGACAGCCCTTTGGGAAGCTCCAGGTACAGCAGTC